CTGCATGAGTGCTGCCGGCACTGGGGAGCTACAGTTCATTGAGGGTAACCATGAATGCCAACATGTGCTGTAACATACAGAAGCAAAGCATGATCCCCATGTTGGCCACACAATATTGACACTTTGGGCCCAATTTGGACATTTCCATTTAGGGATGTACTCACTTTTGTTGCCAACGGTTTAGACATTAAAGGACCACTATAGTGCCAGGTAAACATACTCTTTTTCCTGGCACTATAGTGCCCTGAGGGTGCCTCCGCCTCCTCTCCTCCTCTTCGGCTGAATGCGCATGCGCGGCAAGAGCCGTGCGCGCATTCAGCCAGTCTCATAGGAAAGCATTTACAATTTCCTATGGACGCTGGCGTCTTCTCACTGAAAATCACAGTGAGAAGCACGCAAGCACCTCTAGCGGCTGTCAAGAGAAAGCCACTAGAGGCTGGATTAACCCATTTATAAACTATTATTCTCTGAAACTGCTATGTTTATAGAAAAAAGGGTTAACCCTAGCTGGACCTGGCACCCAGACCATTTCATTAAACTGAAGTGGTCTGGGTGCCTATAGTGGTCCTTTAATGGCTGTGTGTTGTTATTTTGAGGGGACAACAAATTTACACTATTATACAGGCTGTACACTTACTACTTTACATCGCTGAGTGTCATTTCTTCCGTGTCGTCAGATGAAAAAATATAATGAAATATTTACAAAAATGTGAGATACTGTATATATTGTAATAATATATAATAGTGGTAATATTTTATATATATATATATAATCTATCACCAGGCCAGGCAGAGGATATATAGAGAGAGTATAGATAGCAATATATAGCGATATAGGGATTATAGTAATATAAGATACTCAGTATGGCTATATCGGTGTATAGATAGCAATATATAGAGATATAGGGATTATAGTAATATAAGATACTCAGTATCGCTATATCGGTGTATGGATAGCAATATATAGAGATATAGGGATTATAGCAATATAAGATACTCAGTATGGCTATATCGGTGTATAGATAGCAATATATAGAGATATAGGGATTATAGTAATATAAGATACTCAGTATCGCTATATCGGTGTATAGATAGCGAGATATAGGGATTATAGTAATATAAGATACTCAGTATGGCTATATCGGTGTATAGATAGCAATATATAGGGATTATAGCAATATAAGATACTCAGTATAGCTATATCGGTGTATAGATAGCAATATATAGAGATATAGGGATTATAGCAATATAAGATACTCAGTATGGCTATATCGGTGTATAGATAGCAATATATAGAGATATAGGGATTATAGCAATAGAAGATACTCAGTATGGCTATATCGGTGTATAGATAGCAATATATATAGGGATTATAGCAATATAAGATACTCAGTATGGCTATATCGGTGTATAGATAGCAATATATAGAGATATAGGGATTATAGCAATATAAGATACTCAGTATGGCTATATCGGTGTATAGATAGCAATATATAGAGATATAGGGATTATAGCAATATAAGATACTCAGTATGGCTATATCGGTGTATAGATAGCAATATATAGAGATATAGGGATTATAGTAATATAAGATACTCAGTATGGCTATATCGGTGTATGGATAGCAATATATAGAGATATAGGGATTATAGCAATATAAGATACTCAGTATGGCTATATCGGTGTATAGATAGCAATATATAGAGATATAGGGATTATAGCAATATAAGATACTCAGTATGGCTATATCGGTGTATAGATAGCAATATATAGAGATATAGGGATTATAGCAATATAAGATACTCAGTATGGCTATATCGGTGTATAGATAGCAATATATAGGGATTATAGCAATAGAAGATACTCAGTATCACTATATCGGTGTATAGATAGCAATATATAGCGATAGGGATTAAAGCAATCAGAGAATGTAGTTCCTTGGACCCTTTCCCATATCCCTATGTACATCTAAATATCTCTAAGGTTTTTAGTATCCCTGGAATTCCCATTTAAGTGTTAGACTCACCTGGGAGACTTTTTGACCATGGCAGGTGAGCCAGCGCTAATATTACACCTTCCTGACTTGTCAATATAGGATTCATGTGGTGTACACAAGGTTTAAATTCAATTTGTTGCAGTGGTGCCTCGCACCCCATGTGTTCACCATTACGGGTTAGTATGTAGTGGTTTAGAATATTAAACCTCTTTGTCTTATTAGATATCTTACCTTTTAGCCGAAAGCAGAAAGATGTTAAAGCTGTTCTTTAAATATGCATTGGGATTTGAGATTGTGTGCAAGTAATATGGATTTAGCAATATGTAGATATGAATTTACTCACACATCTTTCATTGTCAGGACTTCGTAATAATGAACAATAAGAGGCATTGGATGGATGAGAAAATCTTGAATCTTACCTTGGAGATCATCTACCTGCTGACTGGAGAGGTGAGGGATTCTGGGTAATGTCATTATGGAGATCATCTACCTGCTGGCTGGAGAGGTGAGGGATTCTGGGTAATGTCAGTATGGAGATCATCTACCTGCTGAATGGAGAGGTGAGGGATTCTGGGTAATGTCATTATGGAGATCATCTACCTGCTGACTGGAGAGGTGAGGGATTCTGGGTAATGTCATTATGGAGATCATTTACCTGCTGACTGGAGAGGTGAGGGATTCTGGGTAATGTCAGTATGGAGATCATCTACCTGCTGACTGGAGAGGTGAGGGATTCTGGGTAATGTCACTATGGAGATCGTCTACCTGCTGACTGGAGAGGTGAGGATTCTGGGTAATGTCATTATGGAGATCGTCTACCTGTTGACTGGAGAGGTGAGGGATTCTGGGTAATGTCATTATGGAGATCGTCTACCTGCTGACTGGAGAGGTGAGGGATTCTGGGTAATGTCAGTATGGAGATCATCTACCTGCTGACTGGAGAGGTGAGGGATTCTGGGTAATGTCAGTATGGAGATCATCTACCTGCTGACTGGAGAGGTGAGGGATTCTGGGTAATGTCAGTATGGAGATCATCTACCTGCTGGCTGGAGAGGTGAGGGATTCTGGGTAATGTCAGTATGGAGATCATCTACCTGCTGACTGGAGAGGTGAGGGATTCTGGGTAATGTCATATGGAGATCATCTACCTGCTGGCTGGAGAGGTGAGGGATTCTGGGTAATGTCATTATGGAGATCATCTACCTGCTGGCTGGAGAGGTGAGGGATTCTGGGTAATGTCATTATGGAGATCATCTACCTGCTGGCTGGAGAGGTGAGGGATTCTGGGTAATGTCATTATGGTGATCATCTACCTGCTGACTGGAGAGGTGAGGGATTCTGGGTAATGTCAGCATGGAGATCATCTACCTGCTGACTGGAGAGGTGAGGGATTCTGGGTAATGTCATTATGGAGATCATCTACCTGCTGGCTGGAGAGGTGAGGGATTCTGGGTAATGTCATTATGGAGATCATCTACCTGCTGGCTGGAGAGGTGAGGGATTCTGGGTAATGTCAGTATGGAGATCATCTACCTGCTGACTGGAGAGGTGAGGGATTCTGGGTAATGTCATTATGGAGATCATCTACCTGCTGACTGGAGAGGTGAGGGATTCTGGGTAATGTCATTATGGAGATCATCTACCTGCTGACTGGAGAGGTGAGGGATTCTGGGTAATGTCAGTACGGAGATCATCTACCTGCTGACTGGAGAGGTGAGGGATTCTGGGTAGTGTCAGTCTGGAGATCATGTACTTGAGATACAATTGGAAGGTAGCCTGTATCGTGTTTGTATTGTTTATTCTTGCCATACTCAATTTTTAGAATCACATGGTTGTGAAGAAGCCAAGTAATTTTGACTTGTCTAACAACGGTTCTCATGCGCCAGAAGGTTCACAGAGGAACTTAATCCACAATATGCCTCATCCACCACACTCACTAATTCATGAGGGAAACAATGACCAGAAGATCCTGGAACTGACCAATCAGATCATTGAGCTGCTGACTGGAGAGGTGAGGTTGCTGGGAATGAGACATACACTAAAACCAAGGGATGTGTCTGGATGTTGACTGTATCATTGTGTGTTTCAGGTTCCTATAAGATGTGACGATGTCACGGTCTATTTCTCCATGGAGGAGTGGGACTATATAGACGGACACAAAGAGCTCTACAAGGACATCATGATGGAGAACCACCAGTTCCACAGCATAATGGGTAATGTTTAATATTTTTAATTGGTGTGTATGCAGTACTAGGAGAAAATATGCGACCCCATCAATTCATCAGTATGGATTCATGAATGTGATCTGATTGGTATTTAGTTTCTAATAATTCTTATATTAAATTAGTGAGGGCAGACATCCAAGATTTTTCACCACTGCTGTGTGATAAATAATGGACCCTGTACTTTGCTCATTGGCTGTTTTAAAGTTACTCTGATCCATGGATCTGATGGTGTTCTAACTGGTGACTGCCCCCCTCTCAAGGGTTAAGAAGTGTTGCTTAACTTGTTGCCAAATCAGCACAGTTCTATCCATGGCTTGCCCCATCACTTTGGCTGAGATTATTGAGATGGATGATCTCAGCCAATCCTATGCTTTTCCTTAGAAGTCCATCTCATTGTATTAGTGAGAATTATTGAATGAGTTTTACTCCGCTATTTCTGTGGCTCTCAGAATTACAGCCTCTAGAACCATTTAAACTCTGCAATGTAAACATTGTTGTTCATGCAGAATTGCAGGATTAAAGGAACACTATGGTGTTAGTAATACAAAACTGTCCGTCCACCTCTGTGTGTCCACGGCTAAATTTAAACTTAAGATTCGGATTTAGGGTTAGGTTAAAAATTCGATAATTTTTGTTTAATTAGGGCAGCTTTCTTTGGGTGTTTGATGGGTTAATGTTTTAGAGAGGGTGAAAATATAGGAATTTAATTTAGGACTTTGTGTATTTTATCATTTATTTTTCCTTCTTTGGGCACACATGATGCTATTAAAACGGTATCAAAGTGCAGAGCTGATCTGTATGGTAACTTAGTGTCATGGCTTACCTTACTTGGAGTCTGAAGCGCAGAGATGTTTGCTCACCGTTGCAGATAAACACAGCCCACGGTAACTAGGTAAGAAGCCACCTGGGCTGTGAATCTGTGCACGGGGGCTTTGGCAGGACCAGTAATCAGGTACGAGGAAACAGACAAGGGCAAATCCAGAAGAGTAGTCAGGCACGGTATCAAAAGTCAGGGCAGGCAGCAAACCGGCAATAACGAAGATTCCACAAGCAGGGGTCACAAGTCAGTCTTAGGAATCAGGAAACAACAAACTGACACTGCCCTCAGGGAGAGGCAGTGTTATATACCTGGGATAATGATCCATCTGCCTCAGGTGGACTTAGATTGACAGGTGGGAGCCACTGGTGAAGTCCAGCCCCCCTAGTGCTGCAGGCAATGCTGGATAAACAAATCTAGCAAGCTGATATATCAATTTAGACATTCTCTTGTCTCTGTACTTTACAAAGAGGTGATAAACTTGGTGGATGTAGATTAATACAATAAAGGAGCACTATAGGGTTAAAACCACCATCTAGCTCCCCCTACTGCCCCCCTCATGCCTCCCTAAATATAGTAAAATCTTACTTGTATTCACACCTGGAGCTGCTTGATTTGTCCCTGTTTACTTTAGACCTGCCCACTGCCTGCTGACCTCAGCAGAAGTGGTAGGCTGATCCATAGGATTGGCTGAGACTAACAAAGAGGCAGAGCCAGCACAATTCAAACACAGCCTGGCCAATCAGCATCTCCTCATAGAGATTAATTAAATCAATGAATCTCTATGAGGAAAGTTCAGTGTCTGCATGCAGAGGGAGGAGATACTGAATGTTTGGATGCATTTTAGTCAGCCATGACCCAGGAAGGATCTCTAACAGCCACCTGAGGAGTGGCCAGGGAAGTTATCACTAGGCTGTAATGTAAACACTGCATTTTCTCTGAAAAGACCGTGTTTACAGCAAAAAGCCTGAAGGTAATGATTCTACTCACCAGAACAAATTCAATAAGCTGTAGTTGTTCTGGTGACTATAGTGTCCCTTTAACCCTTTAAGGACACATGACATATCATGATTCCCTTTCATTCCAGTAGTTTGGTCCTTAAGGGGTATTCAAGCTTTAAAGGGACATGCATCACTTGGCTTTTTTTAACTCTGCAAACAAACACTTAAACAAATATACAAATAAACATTTTCCAAAGTATGTTGTGACGAGAGCAATCTCGCCACATTGCATTGGAGGAGCCTGGTTGCCCGCCTGCTTCCTTTAGACTATGGACCGGACTTTTAACATACTTTATTTTCCCCGCAGAAAGGCTTATTCATGCCTTTCTGCCAGGGCGTTCGGTAGATTTTATCTACTGAACAAAATACCGAAGGCGTGACCACCGGGAAGCTGGCGTGTGCCTTCAATTCACCTCCCTGAAGCTAGCGGTTAACCGCAGCTTAATTGACTGTTACTGGGTGGCCGCGGTTACACTTAGCAGCCGCTAGGTGGTGGTGTTATGGAGCTCCCCGGATGGCCAGCGGTGCTCAGCCCAGAATCAGTGCACTAAAAGCGGACACTTTTACGTGCAGGCACCGCTGAGCCTCCAGCCTTCCCTGCTTCTATTCGTGGCTGTTTAGACGAACGCTGGAGTGATCGGGACTTTTTCTATGTGAATGTTTTAACCCAGATAGCTATGCCATGGAGCCTATTCGTGTAATTAAAGACTTTGGCTCCATGGCAATTGAACTGTGTGTATAGGATCTGAGTGCGTTTCGGTAGTTATGTGCGCTCCGATCCCTGCTATCTGGGGATATGTGACATGTCTGTATTTTATGTATTAAATGTAACTTTGTATTTTTTTAAAGTATTTTACTGTCTTTGTGTCCCCACATGTATAATGGAGTTTTGCCTCTGTCCTGGGAGATAATTGGATTACTTCCCAATTATCTCCAGGATAGAGGGAGGGAAATTAGGATGCATTGTGGGGATGTTTTACTTCTGTGTGTCTGAATGTGATACATGTCTGTCTGTGTTACAGTCTCCCATCTGGTCCCCTAGGGGAGTGTCCACCAGGTGGGAGACCTGCA